AGACAAAGCGTTTATATTAGGGGACAAAATAATATTTACATAATGAAAATGGCTTTAAAGTTATGAAATACTTACAAGGGGATAATTCTATAAGCGCACTGTTTTAAAAAATGATAGTCTATGTTTAAATGCTTATTCCTCGTCACAGACACACCCGTTTGTTATACGTTTTGGTTTATCTAATGCAGAATTGGCTGTAGAAAAAGATTAATCAGTAACAAGTTGGCAAATCGTTACCAAAAATGGACGAAAAAATACAAGAAAGTAAAATTTAAGCCAAAATATCATAACATTTTGGTTCATATGCATATCACTTGTCACAGAAACATTAATTTGTTGTGAATTTTAGTTTGTTGGAATTGACATGTCTCGAGTATATGTTTATATTAGGGGACAAAATAATATTTACATAATGAAAATGGCTTTAAAGTTATGAAACACTTACAAGGGGATAATTCTATAAGCACACTGTTTTAAAAAATGGTAGTCTATGTTCAAATGCTTATTTCTCGTCACAGACACACCCGTTTGTTATACTTTTTGGTTTATCTGATGCAGAATTGGCTGTAGAAAAAGGTTTGTCAGTAACAAGTTGGCAAATCGTTACCAAAAATGGATGAGAAAATACAAGAAAGTAAAATTCAAGCCGAAATATAATAACATTCTAATTCATATGCATATTACTTGTCACAGAAACATTAATTTGTTGTAAATTTTAGTTTTTTGGAATTGCAAATACTAGACAAAGCGTTTATATTAGGAAAAGAAATGATGACAACATAATAAGAAAGTCCTTAAAATGCAAGTAAATTACAACTGTAAATATCACAGACTTGAGAAATCGGAGTAGTTATCTTTAAAAATTCATTACTCTTCAACAACTCATCGGTTTGTTGAGATTTTTAGCTCATTAGATTCGGAATAAAGTGAAACAAAAATATTGTCTAGTAATAGGGGGAGTCAGGCATAGTCTCAATGGGGTAAATTTTATAAAAAACTAAAAATTTTACATAAATTTTTTTGTAAAAATTTTTTTTAAAGATGTGTTATTCTTCGTATATGCTACCTTTTGCTAAGATATATGGCTCATTTAAAAGCTCAGGATAAGGCAAATTATTTTTATTAATGGTTTAAGTACAGAAAGCATAACAAACATATTCTTAAAATTGCATAACAAAATAAAGGGGCAAATTCGTCAAAATTTGGCCTACAGACTAAGGGATAAACTCCATGCAAATAAACTTTACGACATCAATGGTAGAATCATCAATTTAATCGAGCCTAAAAAAAAAGCACAACAATAAATTAAGTAAACCATTCGACAAACAAAGTTACTTGCCAGACATCGAAAAACTATTTTTCTCTGCTGGTTAACCTACATTTCTTTAACTTGTTACATTTAATGGTTTTGCCTGTGAGTCTGTTCTATGGAAGTAAAATTTTTCCACAACGGGTTGCAGTGTGAAGGTCGCGTTATCCTGTGACACAAATATAGTAGATGGCGAATATTTTGAGTGCTTAATCAATCCAATTTAATCCAACTATTCGTCTATTAAAATATTCACATTTTTGATCGCTTGAATTGTGAAGAGAAATTGTACATGCGCGTCGTTACACCGCGTCATGTGATACTACATAACACTTGCGATTTGTTACTCTCATTTTTGGGAAGGGTTATTTGTTCCCTTTTCAATACATACTTCAAAATGAGCGGAATGAGCAATGCAGAACAACAGCAATATTATCAGACCTTTCTAGCCTTAAATCCTATAAACGGCTATATAGGAGGTTGCCTTATGCATTTCAGTTTCGATTGTTTTATATTAAACAAAACTACAAGTACTAATTATTGAATCTTCGCGTCAGGCGCACAGGCGAGAGAATGGCTAATAACTTCCGGTCTGCCTATTAAGGCTCTCGAACAAATATGGTGATTGCTTTACTTGTATCTTACGCTTTCTTGTTTCTTGAGCTTTATCCTGACATCACATAACATCCCAAAGGGATCTTTGCGACATTGACAAAGACGGGCGGCTAGATTTTGACGAGTTTGTCGTAACCTATAAGCTGACCAAAGATCTCAGTAGTGGACTCTATTCTGATATTCCACAGGCTCTTCCAGCACACATGATCCCTCAAAGTAAAATACATTTACTTGGGGGGAATTTTGGCGGTGGGCAAAGGAGCTTCAGTACCTCGCCCAGTTTATTCCCACAACAGACTAGCTCAATACCTACTGGTGTTGGCGGTTTGGGATATCAAACACAACAGATTGCACCTCCACCTGTCCCACAGGTGCGTTTGTAGTGTAGGTTTTGAGGAAGAGGGGGGAAAATTAAAAGCAAGATCATCGGAATGCAATTAGAATGTGGTGAAAAGACTACGTTGTCTGGTTGTTGGGAGGTTTTTTTTAATATATATATATATATATTTTGTAGCAAAGTTTTGGTGCATTTCCTACCGCACCATTAACGGATGATTTTGACTGGTATATACCGCCTGCAGACAAATTCAACTATGAAAATCTATACTCAAAACGAGCTAACATTCACGGATACGTTCGATGTACGATTTCAAATTGTGTGATGTTTTTTGATCTGTGAAGTATGCTAAATCGTATATATTCTAGTCGAGTTTTTCGAAGATCTTTTTCAACAACTTGGCCTTTCTCCGGAGGAATGTTACGGCGCATGGTATGTTGTCCTGATTTTGTTGGCTTTTCTTTATTTGTGTCTGCTCTCTATTTGTCCCATCTGCGTGAAATCTTTCTTTCACCACATACTTTTACTCAATGTTACGTTTTATGATCAGGAAAATGGTCGATGTGAATATAGAACAACAGCTCGGCAAAGATGCAGCTCTTGTATTCTTGCATATACTTAATCAACGCAGTAAGGGTAGGCGTATTCCGAATCAAATGCCGAAGCCGCTGAGGACATCACTGATGAGGGGGAAACTAGATTATAATTATAATGAGGCTTTGGATTCATCTTCGTCAAAGTCGCGATCAAGCTCAGGATCGACGAGGATGTCGGGTGAGTTGGAACTTTACAACAGTTCTTGTGCAGTCGATACGCTACGTATGACTCTTGTGCGATTTGGTGTCTTGTCGCATTATCTTTGTAATAACTTGTAAAACGCTCGCATATCCTGAATAGCCAAGAAAGAAGAGGAACAGCTTTTGAAGCAGATCGCAGAACTCGATGAAAAAATAAAAACAGCTGAGGAACGGGCTCTTTCTAATTATACATCGGCTTTTTCATCCAATTCGACTCCCAAATCGGAATTTACTCAACTTTACGAGTTTAAAAAGCGGCAGCTGGCTGCGTTGTCCAATCGTGATAGGCAGAGTGGTACCTTGGAAGATTTTATTCGGAGGGAAAGGTCATGTCTTAGAGAATTACAAGATGGAATGAGCCAATTGAAAACGCAAGTGACGTTGCTTGAAGCACTTCTCGATGCCGGTAAGGCTGATTTAAGACATTTGGAGAGGGATATTGAGAGTGAGAAGGTCGGGTAGGAAATTTGGGAAAAGACTGCTGTAGTAAGGTGATGGCAACCAATTTCTTTTTTTTTTTTTTGAGCTATGTAGAACATTAGTAACCGGCTATTGTACTAGTTATGTTGGATTTTATTGTAATTCGTGTATTAGACAAATCCGAACCTTTAATACCGGAATAATAAATATTTAAAGAATCTAATCTATGGTGTGATATAATATACATCTGCTGAGGAAAAATCAAGAAAGATGTTGGGTAGACTTGATTGCCCTAAATGAAGAATGTAGGTTTGACTGATGCCTCGCTTGAACAACACTATATACAAGCCTTCCATATTACCGCGCTCCTTCTTGCATTATTGACTGTGTTTCTATTAGTATGTGATATTTAATCGTTTCTCCTGAAACAAAGTAGTAGATACATGACTATACTGTCCTGTGCAATTTCCGTATCAACAGTGCAACAAGCACAGATGAAATGCCCAGTATTGTTAAACAAATAAGAATGCCATATAAGCAACCCAAATGGTAATTTGATTCGTTGAATAGAGTCTGTAAAGAAAATGGTAAAATTTGTTAATATGAAATCCGATAAAATATAGCAAGGAAGAATATGTCCAATGTAATGCTATTACATACAGCATAAGATGCACCCAAATGACTCATAATAATCCATGCAATGTGACCGTATTTCTTTGGTATACCGTAGCTCGCGAACGCAATGATCATCCAAGTGACATTGAGTAGGATAAAGATACAGGTGTTGATTGCGGAGATGAAATACAACGAGACATTAGGGCAAGACTGACACATAATAACACCAGGTCCAATCGAGTAAGAGAGAAGTGTTATGTATGTTACAAGACCTGACATTAGACCAAAACCTAGTCCGCTGACTGAGTAAATAAATGTTGAATGTTATGACTAATCAATGTTTTGAGAATTCGTTCGTCTCGATCAATAGACTAAATTAACTTACCAAGCGCAAACGTTGATCTATTATATTTTGAAGTCGGCGTAACTGATACCAAATTCAACCCTTGCTCGGCTCGACTTAACAATCATGGTGATAGAAATGTTAATGATGTAATTGACAGATTGCTAGTCAACGCAGAACAAGTCAATTGATGCTTGATCTGAACTAGCCCTTATTGTTATTATTATTGGCATTTAACCTTTTATAAAGTAAGTGTTATTATTACCTTACAAGCTTATAATATAACCATCTGAATAGTTCTTGAAGTAGTACACTATAAGCAATAGTAACGGGATTCAATGTCTGAATTGGCTTGATGACATACCAAATCGCAGAGGACAGGAGTATAGACAACAGCCAAAAAAATGCGCTGGTAATAAGAAAAACAAATATTCAGTAATGTCATTACATGTAATATATGAAAAATGTATATACCCATTCATACAATTACCTGGACACCGTCAACAAGACCAACTGAGCATCTCTTGCGACATAAAGAAAAAATATACTTAATGCGGGGCCATAAGCTATGGCGTATGTAATATAAAACCATTAGTATAAGGAAACAAGGACTTCTGTACTTATATATATTATGCCTTTACTAACCAGTCAAAGCACATCCAAGAAAGGTTGTAAATGTCATATTGTAAAGACTATTTACAAATGTTAATATTAATAGTATTTAAAGTTTTGATGATTTCAGTACCTGTGTAACATTCGTAATTTCGCATTTCCATATTCAGCTGTTAGGCTAATCGGAGCAATTTAATTGGTTTACAACCGTTCTAGAGCGACTGAAAGTTTGAAAATTACGCGTGTATAATTACGAGATTATTGTTTTAAAATTAACCACACATCACAACGTCTGAGACAAGGCATCAACTGAGTCTCGGCAACAAACATGGGATTGTGAACGCAGTGTGTTATAAAGAAAAAGGTTCTCAAAATACTTTGCGTAATACTGTATTTCGTTTCCTCCGGTATAATGCTGTGCCGAAATTTTGCAATTCTAAACACACCTCACGTGTTGCCAAAAATTTTATGACATTCAGAATATTAATTGGACATTCGATAGTCCAGGTCTCAGTTACTTGTGGCAAATAGTAAAAATCATGTTGAAATAACGCCAAAAATATTAATAGCTCGAAAAATTATGACTAAAACATTGCATGCTATTTCTGATGAAGCGGCAAATAATTTAATTTTATTTAGAAAAAAATTGAATATAATTTTATATTAAGTAATAAGTGCATTATAAGAGTTTTGTGTTTGTGCGAATTTTTGTGAGGGCCATTTTTTCGTAATACACTGTATATTAAACACATTCAAAAGCGAAACATTGTGAATTAGCAAACTGTTAACAAGAATTTTCTACTTTCTATTGTTAACAATCAAAGCATCAATTGTTATTGCCTTGCTTGAAATATGAAAGAGAGAGAATTAACATTGTCGAGCCAATATTCCTGGGAGAGCGGCGGAATACTGACCTTGAGATTTAACTCTTTTCAGACGGAACCTTTCGGCAATTCCTACTCGAATTAAATCTACCAACAGTTAGTGACGCTTAAACTGCGATTTATACTCACGATCTAATTATCGTTCTTGTATACGTTCTCCTGGAATTATTATTTATCCTCGAGATTCACGTCGATTTATATTAGCGGGATTAAACTAATATCCTTGCAAACTGTGCGACCATAGCCTTACGCAATGGGTTATGGCAGTGTAAACCTCTCTTCAGTATTGAGAGGCACCGACTGTGCTACCATTGCGCTTAACAGTTTGCAAGCTCAGAGAAACCAGTTTGTATGAGAACAACTTACGCTTGGGTTTGCTTCAATTATTTTGTTCAAAACTTTCTGAAGCTCCATGCTGTATCTCGCTGTTTGTTGTGACGCGTAGAAGTAAACCGACTGCAAGGCAGTAGAATACGATCGCAAGCACGTTACAGTTAGAACACAAGTTATTTAACAGATTAAGCGAAACACGTCGACCCAAGACGAAGTGGGATGGGAAATTTTAACGAATTTAGAATGAATCACGTGGAGATTACATCAGATTGTTTTTATTAATGTAAGCGATCAATAATATATAATATCATAATAATAAAACAATCGCAAGCTTGCAAGGGAGGGAACAGTCGGCCCCTAGACCTGCCTTGAAGGCAATAACTGTCCCTATTCTTTGGGCTCGCTAAACTATTCGTTTTCGCAATCCTCCTCGCCGTAATTTCCCTTCTCGTTTTCCACCCAAGATGCTATCAGTTTTAGAGTATCAGGCCTGGGATTCGTTTTGCACTTGTAAAAGTTCTCCAACGTAGAGGTTCCGATGGTACCCTTCCCGAGGTCCTCGATCTCACTCTTAATCTTGCAGTACATTTCGGACAGGCTACTTTCGTTGAGTTTTCTCTTTGCCTCAAAGAGTTGTTTAAACTCGTTCCAGAGAGTTAAAATGTCTCCTTCGTATGATTTGGTTGGTTTTGGAGAGTGATGTTTATCGTTTGGTTTGAACCACTTGAAATTATCTCGTATTTCGCAGAGGCTCTTCAGTTTGTCAACCACCATGTGCACAGCGCGGTTATTAATATGTGGAAGGAAGCATGCAATGATCACAACTGCGTGTGAACTGATCTGGTTGGTAAACAACCAACTGACAGATACCAGAAGCAGAAAAACTTCTGCGACTTCTTGCAGGAATTTCTGTAAATAGAAACGCGATTAGCATTCACGTTTGCACACACAGAGTTTTGTCAAAGATGAATATAACAAACCATTTTATTGAATAAAGATTTTTGGATAGTGCCAATGTTTTGCTCACAATTAGAAGAAACCATTCACAGTCTTTTTGAGTAATTTGAGAATACGTTGCAGCAAGTGTTTTTGTTTTGGAGGTGTGGATTCATCTTGCTTTTATACACGAATGCTAGTCGCTCGCTTATAACATAGTAATAGGTCTAAATGTTACTAAAACTTAGTTCATTTATTTGTGTATGAGCCACAGTTATAAATCGAGCAAAGCCTCACCAAAATGTTATCAGCTAAATTAGTTCATTTTCCAGCCACATCAGCCTCTTTTAGCTCACATGACCAAATGTTCACTTTGTCTGGTTTTGTTTGCAGTCTGCCCCATATCATATTACAGATGACGTCATCACCCCCTCCTCTATGATATCCAACCCCGCATATATCAACAAAATTGGTGAGGTTGATATTAGAGAGGGTCGACTGTAGTAATAAGTAATAAGTTTTTTTAGAATACCGAAGACTACGCTAAAAGGACAATTATAAGAAATAAAAGTATCTCTGAGAATGAGTTGAAGATATTAGCTGAATGAAGATGTCGTTGGTGAAGAAAATTATTGCTTTATGCGGTTCAGTCTCTGCGTCTTAATAATCGTACGCAGATGTATCAATATTTACAGTCATGATTTGATAGCCCTTGTAAAGCATACCATTGAAGTCTATTTTGTCATTATTAAAACTAAATATTATATATTTATTAAGTTGTACACGAACAAATAATAGAACACTTAACAAATTTTACTCTAACGCAAACCTTTCCTGTAGCCCCAGCAACTTTTCCCATTTCCAAAAATAAGCACCTTTCATTAATTATCTGCGCTAGAAATTTAGCGATTTCCGAACGGAGTGTGTATGTGGTCATCTCAATCGCAATTACATAATGTAGGCATAGACATTTAGTGGCCTTTAGACTACATCGTCTTCTAGATACACGCCGGTTTTTTAATTCAGTAAGCTTGATCGCGTTTTACACTAAAACGAATAACTATAGTAATCGTCATCGAAATGCAAGTTAGCGATTAATCTTCGATATAGAGATTATTAGTGCGTTCTGAATAATTTGTCAGGGAACGAATCATTAACGACGTATTTCAGAGGCTTAAAAACTGTTGTTTATTTACAATAAAGAATAAAGTAATACTAATACTGCGAAAACGCACACAGAATCTAGTTGAAATCTATACTACGTTTATATCTTTCGGAATAATAGTTTTAATGTCCATTAGGCACATATTTTGTTGCGCCATCTCTGAGTTATGCGAGAAATATATGTTATAACTAACATTAATAGCATATTTTTTCCACTAGCATCTTCTAGCCTTTAATGCTTGGTTCTCTTCAAAATTGTTATTTTCGTTAGCCTACTATCACAAAATTGTATTGTCTTGCCTTAATTTAAACTCTTACATTTCATGAAGCACAGTGCTCCAAGCATTCCATTAGTATCAGGACCTTTTCAATAATGACACTTGTTGCTTGCATTTTAATACCAAGCAGACACACTTTACGCCAGATTAATCCAGCATCCTTGTTCAGCTGCTTTCTGATACAATTCAACTGCTTTTTGAATATTTCCTTTACTTGTCCCATTTCATATAAAACATTGTGTTGTTGATTTCCTGTTGATCAAATGCAGGCAGCCTTGAGTTAGCACTAAACAATCCTCAGACTGATAATTTTGTACTGTTTAACAAAGTTCATAGTTCTGTGAGCATTATGATGGGAAGCCGTGTTGAAAATGTTGCTGTTCATGTTGTTAACTTGTGCCATAACTTGAGGTTGACCTCTCCAAGACTAGCAAGAAGCTCCCATTCATATTCGGCGTCGTTGCGGCAGCATAATTTGGTTGAAACCCCCCAACTGAGCAATACATGATTGTGCCGAGCATCGTCTCTATCAAATCATCCATATTTCGATACAGCCACCCACTCGTTTTGACATGTCTTCTGGTAAAGACTGTAACAGGCCTATTATAACAAGTTTATGTCATAGCATAGACCTCGTTTTTAACTCTTTATCATCTACAGAGTCATGTGCAGTAGAGAGATAAAAACAGCTTAAAACTGGGCGTTAGCGAGTACCTCATTGTGAATAAAAGTTCCTCGCATAACATCCGGAGTATGCAGACGTAATGAAAAGCTTGCATGTGACTTCGAGATTTTGATAGGCTCGTCGCATTATTAACCTCCCAATTTGAGATAGTGGTGCACTATTATCCATATTAATATATTTGACCTTAGCGTTAGGTATGTTCTGTTAAATGCAAACAAGTAGAAAACTGACAATCGTGTTGGTTTCCCCTGAACTAACTCGAGCCCGAGACTGGTATTCCGGACAAACGACCTTTTCAAAATGGTGACTATTATTTAGGCTTGTTAGATCTCACTGCGTTTTGTCCTTCATGAGTCGAAGCTGCATCATGAAAGCAATATGTTTCGAGCGATAAAGCCTGAGAAACACGGAAATAAAGAGAAACATGATATGTATGTCCACATCCTGAGAACCATTTTCGAGTCTCATCTTTCGGGTTGTGTTTGTCCAATGGAACTTGCTAGTGAATCCAACAGCAGTTGACGGGTGCGGTGAAACTTAAATCTCACAACGAAATTAACGTTATCAGGAACGTTGTTATTCCCATACTCACAAGGAAACCAAATTTTATTTTAAATGAGAAATTACCCAATTGTCTAAACATATAATGCTGTCACGTTAATGGTGTCATCATAGTAATGGACTATTTCATAAATTGCAAATTAGTCAAATCCGAGTACAAACTAAATGAAAAAAAAAGGACGATAAGTAGAATAAGTCGATGATCAAACAGATGGAAAATGAATTCTCTTAAAATCATCGTTTTTCGTTATCGCTTTATTTTACAAGTTAGCTTGTTATGGTGTCATGTACGCGTCAAAAATTCTTTCTTTTATTTCATTCTTTTATTTTTTTCTTTTTTCCTGGAACGAAAGCAATTTGATCTGGATTTCTTCAAATATCGCAATACCTTCTTTTCGCTTATTTCGGCTCAATCAGCTTACTATGCCTTCCAACTTGGATGGAGGAGAAATAATTGTAAAGTTATTTGTAAAAAATGACCAGCCAAAAAAGAAAACGACACATGTAGTGCGAGACATTTTTAATGTTTGCACATTCATGAATACCACTATGAAAGTCGTAGTTGAGAGAATTGACTTCGACAAATGTTAAAATAGAGACAAGTGTTGAAATTAAAAAAAGATAACGTTGAGAAAGACTCCAGCCGTTACATCAGTATGTCTCGCAGTTATGTCCGAGGTGGGGACACGACGCGTGCAAGTGGACACCAATTGTGTGAACATATTTTGGGAGATATGACCTCTGTTTCTTACAATCATTCGATTAAATTGAATGTATAATAGCGTTTGGAAGTCCGAAAACTAATAATTTTATTAATCTATGTTGTAAGACGTTAATAATAACTATTGGCATCATTATCATTTGACAACGACGATTCATAGTCATACTGTTTTAAAATTTCCAATTCTTATTGGAAAAACTTGTTCATATTGACACATAATAATCCTACAGCGGTTCACTTTTTGAAACAGGAATTCTTGCATCCAATTCTTTTCTTTTCTTCCTGCCCTCTCGCTTAAATGTCCAGTACCGAGAAAATAGCAAACCCTCCTGTCCTAATCTTTCTTTATAGATTTCTTCCTCCTCTGCAGTTGCTTGTAACGTGACCGGAATATATCTCAAATAAGGTGTAGGTACAACTTTTATAGGCGGCGTCTTCCGACCCTCATCACCACTCCCTGAATGGTTCCATGCGCGATTACCACGCCCGCGTGATGATTGACCACGTTTGGGGTACGGATAATACCTTGATCCACGGCCGCTATACGAACCTGGAGAGCCCGAGGCAGATGTCGATGACGCGGAATAGTTTGACTGTGTATCAGGCAAGCTAACGGCTTTATTTTCCGTTCCATCCGGTTTTATTCTAGACGTTAGCAGAGCGTATATCTAATTGTGGTATGTACATGCGTTAGCATATACATTTGGATCACGAGGGAAAAAAAAAAGACGTAAAATGTATACCTCAGAATGTTTCTTTGATTTTTTCTTGAACATCTTGCCCAATACTCTTGTTTGTTTCAACAGAGAGATAGCTAATTTTTGACTAATTGCGTATTCTCGTGAGTAACATTGCTTTGCATATGACAAACAGAATTGTACGATTACCTCTCAAATGCAATTCCTTGCCCGCGATGCGTTGTCAATAACCGATCAATTATCTATTAAATAGTAATTTAATAAGATAGGTTGACATCTTCCAACTTATTGTAAGGCTGACTCTATAAGCAAGTTATAAATACCTTATTCATATTCTGTATGTAATCTCCTGAAGGATTCTCAGCACAAAGTATATTTCTCAAAGCAGCCAATTGTTCAATAACGGGACCCTTTCCATCGCCAGTATTCTTGTGAGCTGACGGGCCAGGTTTATCCTGTACGGGCTGATTTATATACTTAGTCTCTTTAAATACCACGTCGATTCATACATAGAGCGCTATACTCCAACTTACTCTTCCAAGACCAATCAACAGTTTCCATCCCACGTCAACGTTTCCTGTTAACAAACCTTTCCACCATCTTGTCTCCATTTCGAGAGCTGCAGACGATGTGATGATGGTTTTCGTATTTGATACACTAGGTTCAGTACTGAACTGATCATTCAGTTCTGCAGTGTCGAGGACGGTGATTGAATTTTCTATAGCATCATAGACCTGTTGGTTTTCAACAGAAGCTATAATGTTGGGCCTTATTATAGACTGAACACATTGCTACAGTAAAAAGAAAAATAAAAGTGTAAGTCAAATAAATCAAGGAATACAGCCAGTAAGGAATCGCGAAACAATGCTACTAACATTTACATGTGTAGCTATTAGTGTTTTTGGTCGGGGCAATAATACTTTGGGTGGGGTAGCACGTTCAAGTGATATATATTTCCCGTCTTCCGATTGAGCAAGACAATGTACGTATATCGTGTCTACAATAGGAAAAAAGTTGATTTATTCAGCAGTCTGGTATAATGAAAAATATAAGAGTAATGAATAGTTACCATTATGGAATGCGATGACATGGGTACTCTCTTTCAAACTAGGCAGAGTATCGTCGCTAACGCCAATCTTAGATGACGGTATTAGACTAAAAAAGTGGATAGAGCCTATTTGCGAAAAGTATTCAATAAGACAAGTCCTTCAGAAAATATGAGAATCTTGCGATCACAGGACCTAGTCAGCCCTATGTTACTGTCGATCAACCAGTCCAGTGCTTCCCAATTGTAAATTAGCGAGAAATTCTTACATACCATTCACTAGATTTTGTGTGAATACCACCGTTGCTAATTGAGATATCTGAGTGCATCCAATATATTAGTACATCAACTTTAACTGGATCATGAAAAACAAGTCAGCTTCCCCAAAAAACATGTACTTACATCAAGAGGCGTAGCACGATGAATACACTCTGTTGCTATCATGTCTATACGTAACAATTTAATTAATAAAATGTGTAATTAGAGTTTCATAAATCATAGTGTACCACAACGAGTTTGGCATAAATAACAATACCGTGCTCTTGATTCTTCCGCTTGCACCATTTTATTACACTTCTTCGTTCAGAAAGGAAATTTTCTTCATATATACGTCGGTGCACTTGTTTCGTTTCCTCAAGCATATCAGCATCTGTGTACAGTACATGTTGCTTTGTATGATATAACAGATTGATTTCGTATGACACTTTTGTATTCGCCGTAGTTTTCTATCAGTAAAAAAAATAAACCTTTAGACAATGCACGAATCGATACACATACACAGTCGTGTAAACCCGCATGACTTTACCTTCATTGGGACGCCTTTTAGCTGCAACGTATGCAACCGGCGGTGTAGTTGAGCAAGATGCACCATTGTACGTGATAATCCCAGTCTTTCATACGGAATATTATACAATGTCACCGAAGCGTTTTTTTCAATCTTCAAAAAATGTACAATCAAAATGATGTAAAAAAAATTAGAGTAAGGTATCGGAATATATAAAGTAATTAGATATGATAATGACAAATAGAGCGTGTCTTCAACTTACTTTTGTCCATGGCATGTCATTTGGTAAAGGTTGATAAGGCGGCATCACGCGTATAATGTCAAAATGACAGTGATCAAGTGACCTATAACATTTAAAGAGCGTTATTGTATAGGCTTTTCACGAAAACGTTCCTTATATTAGTTTTTTATCCACACGCGCCGAGCCGTTGCATTCGTTAAAAACAAACTGGCAACAAATAAAACTCACAATCCGTCACGATGCTCTCTTGAACTCCAAACGCGTCTGAACACAACCCGTATCAACTGACAAAGATTAAAAGACGGTAAAGTACCCTCTGTTTCACGATAACTACAAAACCGTGAAAAACCGCGTTAGTCACGTTACATATCTCATCCGTTTTCGTATCTTCCTCCTACCCATCCTCCCCCACATATGCTCATCACTATTTAGCTTTCATCCAAAGAAAACTCACTCAAAATCTCGTTCGCCACCTTTGCCCATAACTATCCATATGACCCTAACTTTCTTGCTTTCAGGCGTTGAAGAAGTCATTTGAGTGGGCATAGATTGTGGGTTGTAACCAATTATCGATCTAACAGCGTTTTCGAGAGCTTGTTCCAGTCGTGTTAGGAATGGGTCGAGGATCTGAGATGGAATGTATTTGAAGTTGTCTGCTATCTGATTGACGTAGTAAAGCGCCGTTAGATCAAAAGAAATCTCGAATCAGAGAAAATAAACAAAAAAAATAAGCCGAACCTCGTTTACATTGCGAACGTGCCAGTCGCTGAGAATAGATAATTCCTTAGTTGTCCCTGCGACGTGAATTGAAATCTATAATGACCAGCGACATGAATAAAGCCGCCTTTATTTCAGCAATTTGATATTAAGCTACAAGATTTAAAAAAGTGCTACTGACCGCAGCATCCTCAAACAAATCAAACACGATCCGACAATATTCGAGAGCTCCTTCGACAAAGCAAGTCCATAGCGTACAGCCTAGTCACGACATACGTTGGTTTTGTTAAAGAATGAATTGTATAGGTGTATAGGTGTATAGGTTTAACGAGTAAAGTGTCAGTATAATTGTTTAACAAGCTCATTAAATCCAAAGAATCTCAGACGACTAACTAACCGGTCTCCTCGGCTAAAAAAACCGGTCTCGTCAGCGCGTATTTGTGGCAATCTAACAAGATCAAAGTTGCCTGCTCCATTTACTCCTTCTCTCTCGTGAATAATTCCTACTTTTATGTCACGTGGTAAGTATTCATATTTCAATTCAATACCCAATGAGATCAAAATTACTTGCTCTCAAATCATACGGCGAATATTATACATCACTAACACCAAGTCCCCAACTTTATTACCTCGACTTCAACAATATGACGAATCGTGTGAGATAGTCAATGAGTCACGGTGTGGTGTGTTTATAAAAATAAAAAAAATGATGCTGTAATAACTGGTACTGACGTTGTTTCCATAGATGTGTTAGTCGAGACAATCAAACATAGCCGTTAATATCAGAATGCAATAAATGCATTCACAATTTATCATTAGTTTCTAATATTTCAAGACAAAGATTTGCTGCCTTTATCGCTAGATATGTTTTTGTAAAAGACACGCTTAAATCGTAAGAATTTGGCATTTTAGACTGAATTTAATGAAACAAACAAAAACTAATAAAGTAATAAAATTTGCAGTTGATTGATCGTTTGCAACATTACAGCCAGTTATGCCAATAGGAGAACCATCGTCTTTTGTAATCCAAAGGAGGCGGAGTTAGAACTAGAATAGAAAAAGATTTAATTTCTTTGGTAATTTCAGCAACATTTGCTTTTCTAGTTTTCAATAAATTAAATTCAGTATACGAACCATTAGCAACCAGCTGAGCTTTGATAACTCCAGGATTGGCTGCTTCGAATACAAAATGCTGATATTTTTGTAAACCATTCAATTTTTTAAAGAAAGTTCCCAACACCGAATTAAGATCTAAATATTGAAAGCCTTTCCCATTGTCATAACACTAGGCCTTGTTTAATCCAGCTGTATCGATTTTTTCACAACCTCAACAAGATGATTCACACAATCTACGGTCGTTTTTCGATAATAATAACGCTTTTTAATCAACCCAAAACTACCATTACATTTGAATTTACCATAAATTTTAATTCAATACTTTCATAGTAGCCGCAGATTACTAAATATAGGTAAAATCAAATAGTGGCATTATTTTTGTTCTGCCCACCCGCATTATCACAAGTAATTTTTCACCTTTGTTCAATTTCTTGATTTCATCGAATACCAGGATCAGTGTACCATTAGGGGCCTTTGCCAATAATTTTATCTTCATCGAGTATGTAATTAATTTGTTCGCGTACTGCCTCATCTTGAATACCAAATAAATGTACTTTACACGGATTGAGATAATAAATCTTACTTACCTGTTGATCGAAATGGGAAACGTGAACATTTTGTGCTCAATCGTAACTGTAGTACGCAGTCGCGTCAACGTTACAATAATCAGCTTTACCTCTTGTTATGAAATGCTCATCCACCAATTTTCCCTGTAGTTCTGCTAGTTTTCGTATTTTTGCTGTAATAATTTCTCTATCTTAACCTTAATCAGATGTTCTTTGAATTTTTCAGTAAGTCTCTTGCTTCTTCCTCCTTACGAGCATTATACTGTAGTCCATTTCAAATGTTGGCACGTGTCACATAAATCCGTTCGTGGACTCATGATTTGAATATATAAGGCGTTAATTGGTGCCATAACTTGCGAAATGCGTCATATTTTAACAATTTCTGTGTGCTATCATTTTCGAGATCTGCAATAAAATCATGATATAACTCGTTCTAATGTAAGCGATTAAGTAATGCGATTAACATTTCTACCCGGACTTGGTAATCCATGAATTTCAGCATAATTTTCGAGAAAATTCTTCACAGCGGTAGCGATGGTGATATCAATGGTTATTTTGGTTTTCCATCGCGGTACTCGTTTGATATTACCGTGAATGCGCGGTATTATACCATCCGTTGCTAGGTGATTTCAAAGTGGGTGCGACCAATTCCTAACATATTGAGATACGTTATCTGGCAAAAAGGCGTATTGCGATCTCAATAATAAGAAGTTCTCTTATTAGTGTTTTCTTTTTAAAACGTCGACTGGCAGTTATTTCTCCACCATTCATCGCTTTCAACTGAGCAATTAAAAATATATCTTGCTCAGATCTTGTTGTATGTCAGATCAGAATTTATGTCAATTCCGAACTAACATATGTCAGATCGGAATTCCGAAGTGATATATGTCAGATCAGAATTTTATGTCGCTTCCAAACTGACATGTATCACATGAATAATAAAAAATTAGCATTAATAATAAATATGACAATGTTTTATTGAATAATTCTGATCTGACATATGTTAGTTCGGAATTGACATAAATTCCGATCTGACATACAACATTCCCGAAGGAGCTGAGATGCATTTCTTGGTCCAAAACGGATGATGGACGGACAGGACTGCCGTTCGGGCGAACAATCTGCCAGTTATTTAACAGTATCGTAGATCACTGTGTAAACGAACTGATTGAAAATCATCTTTATAATACGTGATAATTGAGGTTTATATTATATTATAGGCTTTGCTCGATAACTCTATAACGGGACATTTTTTTTTATATAACGTGACATTCTATATTAATATATGCATCATAATCATGTATAATGATCGGCAGTTGACCGTTTGTGTAACCCTATTTTATTTACTTGACGACCAAGAATCACACACTATAAATTAAGGTTCGCCACCGCACTGTCATAACACTTCCCTCACTCTCATGGTTTCAGATCTGCGGCGCTTCGTTGAACGATTCGTTCAAGTGTATACAGCGCCGAATGAACATCAAGAACGTTATTTTCTCATAATTCTAAAGTCAAACGTGTTAGTTGGTCAAGACCTCTGGCTTGAATATAAACGCCGCACCGCTTCACCTAATGCACCATTCGACGAAGAAGCAGCCATGAAGTTATGGAATGATTCGCCAACGTCAGCGTGCGGAATGGACGCTTTTGTTACGCTTTTAACCAGAGTGTCGTATAATTTGCAATTGTTTGAGTGTTTGGCGGAAATACTGACACCCCCAAGAGAATTGGTGATGCGATGGATGGCTCCTTATCTTAATAGACATAATAAGTATGATTTTGAAGAGGATGTATGGCTATGTGATCCTTGGGGCAGTGGGTTCTGGACCGAGGACACGAGAGAGTTGAACTTGAGAAGAGATATGATCAGTTGCTTGGATATATTGCGGCAATTCAATGGCAGGGAAGATGTCATTGCGGAAGCACTGCGTATTTTAGAGGAAAGAGATGTTTGTGTATATTTGAAAGCATACTGTCAAGGTTGAGGGGGGATATAATGGACATTCTGATTTGATGACGTTATTTCTTGATAGAATGTATAACAACACGGTTGATCGGGTCGGGCAACTCTCGCGTTTACTGTTACAATCACACTCTTTATAATTTATCCACAGGAGATTGTTTATTCTAGTTTGCTGAAACTTCAGTCTATAATGTAATAATTAATATTCTTTCTATATTTGATTTATATAGTAGATCCTGACAATAAAGCGTCAATTAGACTATTACTTTGTCACTATCTTTGCTATACTGAGAACAGTGCTCAATATCATTACGCCTATACCAAATGCCACACATGCAACTGCTGGAATTTTCTTTCTACTCTTCCAATCACCTGACGCAAGCTTGAGAAAACACGCAGGCGGAAGAATGTAAGCCAGCGCTGTTGCGGAGAACCCACCTGTCAGTTCTAGTACTATACCCAAGTCGCTTGTTAACAACGAGATTGTCATCGCACCACCAACTAACGCTGTGGTCGATATAACGTGGCGCATAAATGATTGAGGCGAATTACTAAAGAAATAAATCTCAATAACCTAACAATATCACACAAAAACAAATGATTAGATATGTATCTGTAAAAAATAGCAATCGAACGTTAAATGTGTCCATCGCGTACCTCTCTGCAGACAAATGCTTCTAATGGGAGAGTTGTAAACATATTAAAGCCAAAGCAGAATCTGGCAATGTTTATCAAGAAATTATTCCTGGGAAAATTGTTCAGTATGTTACCTGATATAACGCAGAATGAGATGTATCAGACTAGATCAAGCTAAATGAGTAATTCACAAAGAGATAGTTTCATTCAAGCTTGGTTTTACTATGACAGTACCTTCTGTTTTATCAGTGAATACAAGATAACCACTAAGAGCCATCAGGATGCAAGCAATCATTGAAATTCCAGTAGAAAAATGAGTTACAGCAGCAAATCGGTTCAATGTTGGCTTCTTCAATGAATCGAAAATTAAGAGGCTGTTGTGATGACAAACAAATGCTATAATGAATGAGATTTGGAAGAAATTGGGTAGGTTGATTAGTACAACTCGGTTTCAAGAGAGCCATATATGATGCATGCGTACATACCAAAACTTATTACCCCGATGGCCTATATTATGTTGATGTAAAAATCTGTTAATCGCGATAAACATTCGTTATTGATGAATATTAGATGCACACGAGTTCGGTTAATCCGCCCACCTGAAATAGTTCTCGATGAACAAAGTCCCATCTGACCTCGTCGAGGCCACGAAACTCGGGCGCCACCTGTGGTCCCTCGATAGCAACAGCCACTACTATTACAACCATCGATATCAATGCTAAACCGCTAGCTTTGGCTAACTTTGAAATGTCTCTATACAGAGATAATGGATACGATACGCACACTGTGCATAAAACTATTACGAATCTACGATGGGTCAACAGATCGAGAATCGGAACATCCACAATACTAGGAAAGATTGAGGCCACGACAGATGGAATAGTATCGCCTATTGAATAAATGTTATATGATATAACGCATTGTATATTCCATGACAGCTTAATGTAGGCGTACCTATGATTACGCAAAATGCACACATTCCTTTGAAATCGAGATAATATTAGTAACGAAAATTAATTGAAGAAAGCATTAACAGTTAACTTACCACCAAAGGCGAACGCAAATTGAAATACTGAAATAGCAATCAATCCAGATTTTCCAAAACAAAAATACATTACGTCCTGATACGAATTTCTGCCGGATAATTTAGAATTAATTACTAATAGTCGGATCGTCCAGTCTACTACGACTGTGAGCACAATTAAGAGAATCATTCCCGTCCATATGCCTGCCTCTTTAAAGGAGAATGGTAATCCTATATAATAACGTCGGTTTAGAATGATTTATTCAACTGAAGGTTGTGGAAGTAAGAACAGTGTACCTCTGTTTAGACCGTTTACTAACCGATAATACCTATATAATTCGCATGATCAAATTAGTGCAAATACGGACATATTTTCGAGAAAACAGATACAAGTATACATATATATCAGATCTAAGCATACCAGCTCCAATAATGCTATTAGACATTAGCAAACAACTCTCGAAAAGAGTCCCTCCATCTTGTGGCATCTTCGTTGTGTCCACTGAAGGAAGCATAGTACTTTCTTCTCCCACATTGGAAGAATCATCGTCTTCTGGATAATGCACTTCTGGGACTATGAGATACTCAGTCTCACGAATGTTATGTAGAGAAATAATCTCGTCGTCTTCTTCATTCTCGTTACCGATTCTGACGGAATTATCATGCTCTTCTGAAATCTTTTGCATTGTATGTAATGAGAGGCAATTCAGGGTTTTAGGGGAAATATTAAGTTGGTAGGGAATGCAGACTTTTTGTGCGACATCAACGTCACGTTTCAAAGATGGCAAATTAGCGAATTAGAATTAGAATGGGCAAATATTATGATCGAAATATTTGACGTTTTGCTTTTTGGTTTTCATTCAATAAAAGTGCCATCTGAGCTTGTTCAAAAAAAAAAAGCTGAAAACCGTTTCCATTATCATAACACTGGGTTTTGCTTAAACCAGCTGTACTCGATTTTTTACGGCCTCAAACAACATGATTCACAGTTGTTTTTCTATAGAGCTTTTCAATCAGTCGAAACTTGATTCCCTCCGAATATCATATAGCACTGACTAAAAGACTCACTCAAGTATGGTAACCCCCCAATAGTTAGACTGAAAAGTTTTAGTTTGTGCTCTACGGTAGTAGTCATACTTGACAATGCTTATTACTAATGTTACAATCCATCTGAAATCTAATTATTTTTGCAAACGGAACATTGAAGTCATACAATCGGAACCATTTCAAACAAATAAAGCTTTTATTTTGAATCTAGTAAAGGTTTATAATAAAAGAAACAAATTTGATTATAGGGGGCAGAATTCAAGACGCGACCATTCCTTGTTCTAATTCTGTTTGCTGCTTCTTAGCGTGATCTAATTGTTCTTTCATCATCTGATATACATACTGACCGATATGCTCGACGCTATCGATTGTGAAAGGCTGATCGTGATTTTCAACCTAGTGAGAAATTATAGATTGAGTGAGTACCCTTATCGCAGATATTTTAAACTTGTAAATCAACTTACATCTCTTTGTGAAGGCCACATCTCGTTAATTTTCACCGTGAGCTTATCTGGTCTTTGCAGTAACTGATTGAATGTTGGCGTAAGCTCATAGCAGTTCTCAAACAATGCACGCCGGCAGAATACATATAAGCCCAAACGAGCACGTGACATGGCAACTATCAGACGCCTTACATCACGAATATGGCCAACAGAACGCGTGCGAACAAGAGACAGCAATATATCTAGTAATGCAGATTTTGTAAAAATAAGAATCTTTACAATGATAAAGACATGAATTTCACACAGCCTACGTACAATCGTTCTGTTGTCCCTGAAATTTATCTACAGTGGCCACTTTGGCAGGACGACCAAATAATGGATTCCACGAACACCTTTTGTTCAGGACATCCCGGATTAATGCTTTTTGGCCATTGTAAGTAGTAAGTATCGAGATCTTCTCAGCCGGATATCTATTGCATATTGTCATAAGTAAATGTGATCATTTTGTCCACAAATCATTGTACAACAAGAAAATTTACCCCAGCAATCGCATATATTGATATACGGCGACAACGAATTCGGCTTCACCAAGGTTCTATCAGCAAAACAAGAAATAGTCACCACAAATTCAACTAACTTAAAGAAGCCAATAAGTCAAGACATACCTGATAGAAATATGGCACCGGTTCTGTTTCACCCTTTCCCATATAATTCCCAACATTTATCAACTGATATTCATAGGTAAAACTATCAGATGTTGACATGGATAATTTAAGTCAATATAAACGTCAAGACATCCTAAAGCGACATCAATAATGACAGTACGAGTCCTTACCCTGCATTTGCTCGCTGATATTCTTCTTGTTTTGTAATGACGGGAAGATCACCAAGATTATTATATCGCCAATTATACAACTTTGCTATCGACGGTCTAGCACGGCCCTTTTCATAAGAGAGGCTTGCATTAGTATCAGACTACTGGTCAACAAGTAATGACTGTAGGAATCTTACTTGAGCATCTAGATCGACAGTTGGAACACCGAGGCGCACAAAACGTGTGAACAAACTTTGTTCCATATTCCCGTATTGTTGAAATGCCATGTTTTTTACGACAGGAGGCAACTGATTATGGTCTCCTATTAGGATTACCCTCTTTAATCGACTTCGTCCGTCTTCAGGATCTTGAAGTAGCAATGGTATGAACGTTTCGACTTCAAGAATTTGTGCGGCCTCTTCCATTACCACGTTGTCGTATTTGAAGCCTAATGACGCCAGTTCACGACGCTAGCCGACAATAGAACGTTCTAAGTAATAATCACAAAAGTATTGAAACAAGATAATGTCATTGTCTACCTTCAGAGCAGCATGCGTACAGGTCATGGCAATGATCTTTGCCTCTTTAGTCAAGAGATAATTTGCTCGATCGTAGCTCGTCCGTAACAATTCAAATCCACGAATTTCCTCCAATTCCGTAAAGATTTTTTCTAAATGCCGAAAGCATCCTTCTGCAATTTCTACCAGTTCACTATACTCAGTATCAGGAGGGAAAAGCGGTTGAGGTGCGTTGGCGAAATATGCCATGAAAGGAAATTCATCGCGTATCATTTCGACTTTGCCATTCCCACTTTCGAGGCCCTGTCGAACTTTGTCGATGTAGGGTTCCCAACGAGATAATATATGATACAAATAAAAATATCCGGCTGTCTCACACGTATAACCATGTTCACCACCGATGTCTAAAGATTTAGCAAGCCTGTCTACCTCTTCCAGCAACGCTAAGCGTTTCTCCTAATGTATTAAACCATCTTCAATAGTAGGAATCAATTCAAAAACCAATGCAAGAGTTGAGACAGTCGGTCACTTACCAAAAAT